TTCCTTCCTTTCCCCAGTGATCCTGTTATGTTTCTTAAATTCCACATAAGAGTGAGATCATGTGATAATTGTCTTTCTCTGATTGACTTATTTCTTTTAGCATAATACCCTCTAGTTCCATCCATGTCATTCCAAATGTCAAGATTTCATTTTTTGATGGCTGAGTAGTATTCCATTGTGTGTGTGTGTGTGTGTGTGTGTGTGTGTGTACACCACATCTTCTTTGTCCATTCATCTGTTGATAACCCATCCTCAATTTTTAAAATTTTAAAATTCTTTTTTTCTTTTTGCTGTTCAGTGGGTACTTTCCATTGTCTTTTCTTCTGGATTGCTGATCCCTTCTGCATCTGCTAAAATGCTGTTGATGTCCTCTCCTGTATTTTTCATCTCAGTTACTGTATTCTTCAACTCTGGTTGGTTTTTTGTTTTTGTTTTTGTTTCTTTTTGGTTGGTTCTTTTTTACATTTTCTGTCTCTGTTGAATTTCTCACTCAGCTCATCCACTCCTCTCTATGTCTTGTGAGCATCTTTATGACTGTTACTAGGTATCTTGCTTATCTCTGTTTTGTTTAGTTCTTTTTCTGAAGATTCATCTTGTTTTTTTGTTTGGAGCATGTTTATGTGTCTACTCATTTTGTTTGATCTTCAGTGCTTTCATGAATTGGGTGAAACAGCTACCTCTCCCTGTTTTGAAAGAGTAGACGTCATGTAGGGACTTACCTGCATAGACTGTGTGTGCCTGCCCGTGTCTAGCTTTGTCTGGCTGACCGGAGCTGTATTGGGTGCCAACTAGGGGTCCTTGGGTATTCTTTGCAGGAAGCATCCTGGCAGGGAACACTGAAGTTGGTGGTGAGGATGGGATGGAGGTCTGGGGTGTGCCATGCTGGGGCCACATGGCGCTTGAGCAGGCATGTGTTGGGGGGCACCTTGGGAATATGGCTAGAGCTGGTTTGGGCTGGGAGCCTGAAGCTCACTGAGGCAGTAGGTGGGCTCGAGCATCTAGCCTCTGCTCCCATCTGTGCTACCAAAGTGGAGGGGCAACATAAACGGTGGTGCTCCCCAGCACCTCTGACCCCAGAGAAAATTCTTGGAATCCCCCCGACCCCTACCCTGGTTTGTCAGAGGCTCTAGGATTAGTGAATGGGTTTCCTTCACCTTTAGTCATTTAAGCCTTTTAAACCACAGCTTTTTTTCTGTGCCCCAGGATAGGTGAATCTGCTTGAGGGTCCTTCAGTGCTCTCCCCCTCTACTCCAGTCTGCTGTGTCAGGGAGGGGTGCCAGCGACTCTGTCTTTGGTTGTGCAGAAGCTGTCTGATCAGCCGTCAGTTCTTCAGGAGGAATTATTCTATATCTGGTTGTAGAATTGACATGACCATGGGAGGACATGAGTTCAAGGTCTTCCTATGTTGCCATCTTGGATCCTCCTCTAGTCTGTTTACATTTAATGTAACTATTCATATGGTTTGATTTGGTTCTACCAGTTTACTGTTTTCTGTTTGTCTCATGTATTTTTTTGTTTCTCCATATTTCTTTCATGCAGCCTTTTTTTGCGGGGGGGGGGGTAGCGAAGCAAAGTTTGCTTATTGAGTGATTTCTTGAGCGATTGCAAAAGTGATAGTACAAAGCTCCCAAGGAGGGAGGGGACCTGAAGGGGTTGCCCTCTTGCAACTTATAAACCTTATGATGTTGTATAATTTTTGCTCTAGTAGTCTTATGTTTTAAAAATACATAAGCAGCTTTTTATTTTTACCTACTTATTTAGCATTTCAGTGATCTTTATTCCTTCCTGTATGTTTGAAATTTATCTAGTGTTAGTTCCCTTTGGCTCTCAGAATTTCTTTAACGTGTATCATGGTGCAGATGTGTTGGCAATGAATTCTTTCAGCTTTTATGTTTGAAAATATCTTTATTTTACCTTCATTTTTTGAAAGTTAGTTTTGCTGGAATTTAATTCAGGGTTGACAGAATTTTTTTTCTTCCCACCCTTTAAAGATGTTCCGTTGTCTTTGGCCTCCCTTATTTGTGATCAAAAGTTACTTGTCATTAGATATAATATCCTGTATGTAATTTGTCTTTTTTTTTTTTTCTAGCTACTTTCAAGATTTTTTCTCTTTGCGTTTGTAGTTTGACTGTGACTTGTCTAGGAACGGTTTCTTATTTATTCTGTTTGACATATATGGAGCTTCTAGGATCTGCAAATTGATGTTTTTTTCCCGGCCCATTATTTTTTCACATACTCTTTGTAACCCATTTTTCTCTCTTCAGTAGATGTTGTTAGACTGTGGAATATTGTCCCACAGTTATCTAGATAGTCTCCGTACAGTGTTTCCTTCAGTCTTTTTTTTTTTAAACTTGGTTAACTTTTGTTTATGTAACTTCAACTGCACTGACTCTTTTTTTTCTGCTTTCTTTGCTATTAAGACAGTGCAGGGAATTTTTCATTTCATTTCATTACTTTCCAGCTTTAGAATTTCTATTTGGTTGTGTTTTTTTTTTTTTTTTAAATATTTGTGAGAGAGAGAGCGAGCAAGCATGAGGCAGGGGCAGGGACAGAGGGAGATGGAGAAACAGGCTCCCCGTTGAGCAGGAAGTCCCTGTGGGTGGTGATCCCAGGACCCTGAGATCATGACCTGAGCTGAAGGCAGATGCTTAAGTGACTGAGCCACCCAGGTGTCCCTGGTTCTTTTTTATAGTTTCTGTTTCTCTATTTCCTCTTCGTCCATTCCTTATCTATATATTTTCCTTTAATTCCTTCAAGTGCTGTAAAGTTCCTGTCTGCCGATGGCAACATCTGGGTCATCATGGCCTTGATTTCTTTTTCTTTTTTCTTGTTTTTTTACATGATTTTTTTCTTTTCTTTTCTTTTCTTTTTAAATTAACATATATTATTTGTCTCAGGGGTACAGGTCTGTGAGTCATCAGTCTTACACAATTCACAGCACTCATCATAGCACATACCCTCCCCAGTGTCCCATCACCCAGCCACCCCATCCCTTCCATCCCTCTCCCCTCCAGCAACCCTCGCCGAGTTGGCTTTGATTTCTATAGACTACTTTTTCCATTGAGTTTGGGTCATATTTTCTTGTTTCTTTGCATGTCTCTTGATTTCTGATTCAACAGAAAACATGATAATGGTGCAGTATGGAGGTTCTGGATTCTGTTACAGCCCTCTGAGGGACTTTTGTCTTAGCAGGCAGTTAATGTCATGAGACTCAATTTCCAGACTCCTGGCTCCCCTCTACTAGCAGCCACTGAAATCTCCACTCACTTTTTTATGTTTCCACCTGCTGCTTTTCCTCTTGGGCCTCTTGGGGTCTCCAGCCAAGAATTTGAACATATTTTATTGCAGATTTGGGGGTTCACCCTCCCCATCCTTTTCAAAGTTCCCCTTAACTTTCTGCCTGCTCTGCCCGCCCTGAACTCTGTCCACTGCCACCTGGCAGAACAAGCGAATTTATAAACGTGGTCAGGTTCATTTTCTTTCCTTCCAGGGTTGACTTTTCTCATTTCTGCCTGCTTTTGGTCATTCTCCAGTGCCCTCACATAATTTTTAAGTATTTTGTCCAAATTTTGTAACTGCTGTCTGTAGGAGAGTGGTGTGACCAAGCTGCTCTGTCATTGGTGGAAGCCAGAAGCCAAGCACATACATTTTTGGACTTATGTTCACACTTCTCCTCGGCCTTGGGCTCAGCTGCTGTGGAGGGACTCGGGCTTTTTCCCCTGGGAGCTCCAGTTTCAGCCGAGGAGTAGAGATGATGCAGAGAGAACACCATGGGAATGTCTCAGTCGACTTGGGGTGCTGTGCCAAAGAACCCCAGGCTGGGTGGCTTACACAACATTTTTTTTTTCTCAGTTCTAGAGATTGGAAATCAAAGATCAAGGTGCTGGCCAAGTTTTGGTTTCTCATGAGGCCCCTCTCCCTGGCTCACACATGGTCATCTTTTCCCTGTGTTCTCATGGGGCTTTATCTCTGTGTGTCTATGTCCCTGGTGTCCCTTCATCTTTCTTATGAGGACACTAGTCCTGTTGGATCCAGTCCCCGCCATTATGCCCTCATTATCTCCTTAAAGGCCCTATTTCCAAGTGAAGGCACACTGAGGATTAGGGCCTCAGTGTATAAGGTTGTTGGGTGGACACGTGATTTAGTCTGTAGCAGAGCATGATCAAGGCTGGGGACGGTCTGGGAGCAGGCAGGAGCGGCTGAGCCGTGCTGTGGGAATGGCGTCGGGACGCATCTCTTCAGCCTTTGAGCCGCTTACCATAGCCATGCCTGCTGCTGCTCTCTCCCAGGCACGTTGTGAGGGGCTTGTGGTTCAGCATGGGCAGGACTGGCTCTGCCCTCATGGAGTTCACAGACGAGGAAGGTGGGAAGACGTGCAGATGGACAGTGAGGTCACAGAGTGATGAGAGAAGACATCTGGTGCCTTGGGAGCACTGACAAAGGGGTCCTCCATCCAGTGTATGGGTCGGGGAAGGCTTCCTCGAGGAGATGCGTTTCTAAACCAGAACCTGAAGTGCGAGTTAGGAGTCAGTCATGGAGGAAAAGGGCTTCAGGCCAAGCACAGGAATGGGCAGATGGCGGGGGGGGGGGGGCGGGGGCCGGGGGGGGGGGGGGCTCTGCACCCCGGAGGAACAGAAAGTCATTCAGCACGGTGGGAGCCAGAGGCGCCGGAGGAGCAGAGCGGTGAGGGAGAAGGCCAGAAAGATCGGCTGGGGCCAGCTTCCGTGTTGGATTGTGACTCTGTCCCCGGATGGGAAAGAAGTGTTAAAGAGAGTAGCCGTCTCCTTCTCGGAGGCCCCTTTCTGGCACAGTAAGTGCCCGGTGAATGTTGACACGTGCCACGTGTTATGGTTTGGGGGAGGGGGCTGAGGTGGTTGGAGGGTTGGGGGTGCAGATGACTTGCTTCCTTGGTAAAGCAGGGGAAGGGCCGGGAGGTCGCCGACCGCCTCCGGCTGCACCTGCCGCCGGCTCCGGGTCACGCGTGTGGTGTTGCTTTTCAGCCCTGGACAGCGAGTCCGCCTCCAGCAGCATCCGCTTCAGCAAGGCCTGCCTGAAGAACGTCTTCTCCGTCCTGCTCATCCTCATCTACCTGCTGCTCATGGCCGTGGCTGTCTTCCTGGTCTACCAGACCATCACAGACTTCCGAGAGAAGCTCAAGCACCCCGTCATGTCCGTGTCTTACAAGGAGGTGGATCGCTATGACGCCCCAGGTAGACAGCCTGCCCCGGACGGGCAGCGGGGCCCAGGTCTGGGGCGCCGGCTTATGGAAGAGCCCCCGATGCCCTCCCCCACCGTGCTGGACAGCCGGGGGGCAGCGGGCAGCCGGAGCCGGGCACGGTCTGGGTGTAGAGGACGCGCCCAGGGAGCTGCTGTCAGTACCCAGCAGAGCGTGTCCTGTGCGGAGCCGAGGGGTGGACGGGGCCGGGTGCGGTCACTGCGTAACCAGGGTGGGCGAGGAAGGCTTCGCACGGAGCCGGATTTGAGCCCGGCCTTGACAGATGAGAAGAGTGTTTTTCTGGGAGGGGGATGAGCGGGAGCAGGGGTGCGTATAGGGAGGCGGAGGGCTTCCCTGGAGAGGATGGGTCTAGCCTGGCTCCAGCTCGAGGCTGGTGATGAAGAGCAGTGGGGTGAAGGGTGGCAGGGGAGGTAAAGCCACCCAGACGTGGCTGGGGCCCTGCCTGGGAGGGGGCTCCCTGTCTTTCCTGTCCCAGTGCGGGGGGGCAGTCCCTGAGGAGGAGCCATCTCTGCTCTAGAGGGTAGTGTCTGGGAGCCTGGTACCAGTTCCTCCTGGTAGCCTGGGAGCCTGGCCCTGGGCTCTGGAAGTGTGGGCAGGAATCGGGAGGCAGGAGTTCAGAGGGCTCTGGCTGTGCGCACGGGCCGTGTGCACCTGCTCTGCCCACAGGATGCCCGACTCACCCTCTGGATGGCCTGGCCGCAGGGCAAAGCCAGAGTCTCAGGGGCCTTTGCCTGCGCTTCTGGGAAGCGTGTGGCGTCTTCGCCCATCTTTGCCTGTCTTGTGTCGGTGCCTCTTCTCTGTGGGTCTGCCTTGGTCCCTTGATCTGCGGGTGTTTCTTTCTGAGCTCGGCCTGCGTCTGGTGCCGCACACCGCTCTCGGGTGTTCTGTCACCGAGGTCGGATGGCTGCTGTCAGGAGAGCCTGGAATGAGGTGCTCTGGCTGTGGGGAGGGAGGGACCGTTGAGGTGTCAATCACACCTAGAGTCCCCCCTCCCATCAGAGCAGGAGGTGAGAGGCAAAGTGAGCCGTGGGGAGTCCCACAGCGGGGAGCCTCCCAGGCAAGGTGCAAGTGGCTGGTGGTGTGGGGGGCTGGCATGGCCAGGGTCGGGCATGGAGGCCCCCTCGGGGTGCGCTGAATGGGCCGTGAAATAGGGTGGGTTTTGGTGTAGGCGCCAGGAAGCCCGCATCCCAGGCCAGGAGAGGGGCCTTCTGGGAAGGGGATTGTGTCTTCCTTTAGAGTAGGGCTTTTTGAGGGCAGCAGAGGTGGCTCCCCACCCTCCAAAACCCTCTTCTTCTCCCTCTTCTGCTGTCACTTGAGGAGTCTTGAACTGCGGTTGTTGGTAGGAGTGAAAAAATGTGTGTGACTTGGTTTTAGGGGTGTGGGTAGGGACCGTGACTTCTGACAGTCCCTTTTTCCTGTCTGTGCACTCTAGGGATTGCTCTGTACCCGGGTCAGGCCCAGCTGCTCAGCTGCAAGCACTATTACGAGGTCATTCCACCTCTGAGGAGCCCCGGCCAGCCGGGTGACATGGACTGCACCACCCAGAGGATCAACTACACAGACCCTTTCTCCAACCAGACCCTGGTAACGCCTATCCCCCCACGCCAGGCCTGGGCAGGCCGCTCGGTCAGCCTGGCACCCCGCAGCCCCCTGTCTTCTGTCTGCCACGAGGCCACTCCTACTCCCTTTGTGCAGACCTTGGCCCCTGGCGACCATGAGGCTGTCCCAGGTGGAGTCATGGCCATGCCTGGCTGGCCTGAGTCACCAGGGGCTATGGGGGCTTCAGCGTTCTCTGGGTGCTCCTCGGGGGTTCCCGACAGCGTGGTAAGAGCCTGTCCTTGGCGGGAGGATGTAGGGCTGCAGGGGGTGAGGCCAGTGTGGTGTCGTGGAGTGAGTCCTGTACCTGAGTGCCCAACACAATTGCCACGTAGGGCCAACGGATTCATTCATTCCTGGGGATGGGGCCTGGGAAGCCGTATTTTGAAGTAAACAGGCCAACGGGAAGAAGCCGGTCTGGGAACGAGGATCCCCGGCCCTGGTGGCAACCGCACAGGGTTTGGAAGGCAGGGAAGGAATTTCCTATTTATGTAAATCTTCTCTATTGCATCCCATGTCCTTGTTTCAGAGAGGACTGAATGGGGCTGAGTAAAGGTTTTCCAGATCAAAGAAAGGAAAGGGGCTTTAAGGTGGAGGCAGCAGCTGCGGGTGTCTGGAGGGGCAGGTGCCCCCCACCCCCCTCAGTGGGAGGACGAGCTGAGGAAAGGCCGGATGACAAGGGCTCGCCTGTGGCTCCTGGGGTGGTCTGAGGTGGAGAGCCCGGCCGGGACGGTTCTGTTCACCTTCGTCCTGGGCTTCCTCCTAAGATCCGGCTGAAATGATTCCCTCTCCGGCAGAAACTAGAGTAAAATAACGTTTCCATGACAGTCCCACAAACCCAGAGCAGGTATCACCAGTGGACAAGACATTTTGGGCTGGTGTGAAATACAGATCGGGTCTCTGGACCCAGCAAACCGCCCCCACCCTGAAGTCGGCGAGGGGAAAGCCTTCGGTCCGGCTCCCAGCTCCGCACCCGCCCGCTCGGAGGGCAGGGGTCAGGGGCAGCGGGCGGGACGGTCATCATGGCACTGCCCGTTGGTGGGGCCTCCTGGGCCTTCTGCCCTCCCGGGGCATGGGGAGCTGCGGGGCATGACTTTTGCTTCTGGGTAAGAACATTCTCTGTGGAGGCTCAGAGGAGCTTCCCCGCTGGGCGCCGGGGCAGCCGAGAGAACTGGAGCAGAACTTGAGACGGGCCTCCAGGGCCGACGGGGCGCCAGGTACCGGAGAGGACTCTGTTCCCAGGAGGGAAATCCGCCACGTACGCGGCCTGCTGGCCTTGCCTGCCCGCGGCCCCGGAGCGCCAGCCGCAGGCCAGTGTGGGCATGAGCGACCCCCGGGGGGCACCTGCGCCCCGGACCTGTGCTCGTCGCCCTGGCCCGTCCTTCAGGTGGGAGTGGAGAAGTTCGGCTCGTTAGACGTTTTCGGGAAACCAGTGGCATGGAAGAGGACCAGGAGGGACCGGCGGAATGGACTCCGTAGGGTGGGGAATGGATGCTAATTTAGATGAAGGGAAGCGTAGTTTTTAGGAACGTTAAGAGGAGCAGGATACACCCCAGGAATGCTGTGCGGACCCCCACTCCCGCTGCCCGCTCTGGGAAACCCTGCTGGATGGCCGGGCTGCGCGGGGGTCTCGGGGTGGCTATTCCCCCCGCCCCCGTGGCTGTCCCCCGGCTGAGCGGTGCCACCGAGGAGCCCCTCGCGCTCGTCCCCAGACCTGGCGGTGCCAGCGGCACCATTCGCACTCGTTACGCAGTTTAACGACCCGCTATGAGCACCCCCGAAGTGAGGGCGCCCAAGGAGAGTCGTCGGCACAGAGACGACGCTGAAGGCCGTGCGCGCGTCTGGCTCCGGGTGATGGTTTGTCTCCAGCGGGGCTGGATGTGGCTCATTGCTGTCCGCAGCCGAGAGCTGGGAGGGCTTCTGGCCTCTCTGGGAGGTGAGGCGGGGAGGGAAGGCCAGGCGGGCACAGGAGAGTGCCCGTGGGGAGGGGGCCGTGGGAGCCCAGGGCAGCTGTGGTGTCTCTGCAGGCCCCCAGGGAGCTCCATGGTTGGAGGCATCTGTGCCCCACCGCAGCCCCTGGCCGTGGCCTCCCGGCAGACTGGGCCTTGGTGGAGGTCCCCGGTGGCTGTGCCTGGCGTGGACATCAGAAAGTGTGCCCCCGCCTCCCCCCACCCCCGCCTTGGAGGTTGGCTCGCATCCTGCTCCCACCTCCGCCCCCTTTGTTTGTAGCGAGGCATCTGAGAAGTGGGTCTGCTTCAGGCCGTTTAGGTCCTGGCCGGTCTGTGTGCACGTGGCCCACCGGGGGCCTCCCCTGACCCGCTTCGTCAGGCTCCTGATCCCCATGTTTCCTAGTCTCCCTCATGCCTTCCGTTCAGTGACATTTACCGCGGTAGGGGCCGCCGGGCTCCAGGCTGTAGGACCCATTCCTCTCCTCACCACCTGCCGTGTCCCCGGGTCCAGATGGCAAGCCCTTGCCTCCTTCGCTTTGCTCCCAGAGCATTCCCTGTGTGTTGGGCCGACACTAGCCCGAGCTGCTGGGCAAAACCACGCACCCCTAATGGACACCGTGGCTGCGGCCACAGAGGAGTCTGCTTCTCGGGAACCCGTTGGGCATGTGGGCGGGGGGGGCGCCAGGGGCGGCCAGCAATGGCTTCTGTCCGTCACTCTGCCATCCGCAGGACAGGCTCTTGGGCCTTGTGGGCAGTCCTGGCTCACGGTGACGGGCACGTGCGGCGTCCCCTGAGTCTCTTCTGTGCATGTTCCAGGAACTTGATCACACGGCCACGGCCGGGCTGCTGAGACCGGGGACTGGGGAAGGGGGTAAAGGAACAGTTCGCATTCTCTGCTGCCACCGACATGTCGCGGAAGGGCTGGGAATGGAAAGGACCAAGATCTCTTGGAAAGATGCAGCAAGAGGCAGGCAGAGTGAGGGCGGCGTTCCTGTCGGTCGACCTGGAACGCCAGGAGCAACGGGCTCCAAGAGGGGTGTTTAACTCGGATGGAAAAATAGAGGACTATCCACTAGGATGCAACAGTCAGAAATCTGTATGTGCCGGACAGCATTCCGTTTGTGTATTTTAGGCAAAACCTGATAGAAATAAGAAATAGCCGTTGCCTTAAAGGGTGACTAAATCTGTACTTTTCTCTCTCACGTTCACTGATCAAATAGACAAAAGGAGTGAGGATAAGAATTGAACAGCACAATTCATCAGTTTAGAGTGAGTGTGTGTGTGACACTTTGTGCCTGACATCGCTCACTCTCCAGGTGTCTGTAGAGCGTTGGTAACAGTGACTGACGTTAAGATGATTTTCCCCAAGTTAACCTGCAAATCCAGGTTGTCCGTTAAAAGTCCCAGTTGATGTTTCCATGGAATTTAACAATCTAGTTTTAAAATGTCCTCTTAGAAGAGCACGTGTACAGCAATCACCCCACTGGATTTGGGGACAGGGAGCAGCACAGTGGAGGTTTCCTGCCTGGTCAGATGACAGAACCGTGTAAACCCGGGGAGCAAGCCCACATCTGCCTGTTGTCTGGGGAACGGGATGCAGGTCCCTGTTTCATACCAGATACAAAACTGAAAGCCGGGCACATAAAGCATCTGAATGTAGAACCTTTAAAAAGTGTTCTAGGGGCGCCTGGGTGGCTCAGTGGGTTAAGCCTCTGCCTTCGCCTTGGGTCATGATCTCAGGGTCCTGGGATCGAGCCCCGCCTGGGGCTCTCTGCTCGGTGGGGGGCCTGCTTCCCGCTCTCTCTCTGCCTGACTCTCTGCCTGTTTGTGATCTCTCTCTCTGAAATAAACAAAATCTTTAAAAAAAAAAAAAGTGTTCTAAAGAAATACAGGAGGGAGTGCTTGGGTGGCCCAGTCGGTTAAGCATCTGACTCTTGATTTCAGCTCAGGTCAGGATCTCAGGGTCATGAGCTCGAGCCCCACGTCAGGTTCTGTGCTCAGTGGGGGTCTGCTTGGGATTCTCTCACTCTGCCCCTCCTCTCCCCTTCCCCCCCCCAACCCCTGCTACCATGCTCTCTCTTTCTCTCACACACTTCTTTTCTTTTCTCTCTTTTTTTTTTTTTAAGAGAGAGTAAGAAAAATATAGACCATTGATGTAATTTTGGTTTTCCTTGACCAGTAAAACCCAGAAGCCATAAAGAGAAAGATTTACAGATATCACTGTATCAGATTTAAAGCGTAATGTAAAAAATGACATTAGAAACAAAGTTTGATGGAAAAGTGACAGACTGGAAGAAAACATTTGTACATGAAATGGATGTAAGCTAGCATCCTTTTATTAATTAATTAATTAAAGCACGCATCAGCAGGGGAGGGGCAGAGGCAGAGAGAGAGACTGTCCAGCAGACTCTCCGCTCAGCAGGGAGACTGACTCAGGCTCGATCTCACAACCCTGAGACCATGACCAGAGCCAACATCAAGAGTCAGACGCTCAGCGGATGGAACCACCCAGGCGCCCCACGAGCATCCTTCCTAAGTGAAGGGCTCCCTAGCTCAGGCAGCCCTGAGAAAGGTGGACAGAGGACAGTTGCTCTTGGCTCTGGTCCAGCGGTGTCCAGAGAGCCACCCCGCAGGGCTGAAGGGGAGTGAGCACAGACAGCGGCCCGGGTGGCCTGGGGTCCTCTGGGGTCCGCCGGGCGAGGAGCTTTCCGGTCACACATGTCCAGAGCGGAGCAGCCGCAGCTCCCCCACGGCTGATTCTGGCCTTCGTGTGTCTGCAGAAATCCGCCCTGATCGTGCAGGGGCCCCGCGAGGTGAAGAAGCGGGAGCTGGTCTTCCTCCAGTTCCGCCTGAATGAGAGCAGCGAGGACTTCAGCGCCATCGATTACCTCCTCTTCTCGTCCTTCCAGGAGTTCCTGCGCAGGTGCCTTTCCAGTCCGAAGCGGGCTGGCCCATCCCGGGGCAGGGGCGGGCACACGGGGCGGCCATGACCCGGCGGCCCAGGGGCCTGACCTGGAGCCCGGAGGCCCCGGGAGACCTGTGCTTACAAAGTGCGGCAGGTCTGGTGTGGCGCGTGTTCGGACCCGCGGGCCGAGAGCAAGGTCCTGTCACTGCTAGGACCTTGTGTGCCCCTGAGTCCCTGGCGCCGGGCCAGGTGTCCCCTGCGCTGTCAGGGCAGCACGTCTAGCCCTCAGTGTGTGTTTAATATGGGCAGGAGAGTTCCGTCTGCTGGGGGCGCCTGGCCGTGCCCTCTCTGGGGCCCGGAGTGGGCACTGGGATTGCAAGTGTTTTCTTCACGTGCCTGACTCCGGCCTCCAGGCCCTGCAGAGCCCAGGGCGCCCCTGAAGGGAAGTGGGGTGGCAGTCACCGCGGAGGAGAGGCTGCTCCCCTGGCTGAGGCTGCGGGCCATCTTCCCTGCTCACACACCCCTGCTCCGTCCTTCTGGAGCCTGGAGCCTCTGCCTGTGGCATCTTCACCCTGTCTGCTGCCACTGTTCCCTCGGGCCTCCCTGCTGGAGCTGCTGGCTGGGCAGATACCATGGGGACCCATCTGGGGAGGGGAGGCCAGCGGGTGCCGCTGCAGACTTGGGGCCGGTGCTCTGGGAGCAGGTGGGAAGGAGGAGGGACTCCCCCCATGAGAGGCCACCTCGAGCCGGGTGACAGCTCTCCCTGCGTGTGCAAACCCAGACACGGAGCTTGGAAAGGAAACAGGAAGTGGGCAGCCCCCCGGTGATGCCAGCCAAGGAGCCTGCTGGAAGCAGGGGCTGGAGTTCGAGTTTGGCTGTTGGGCCTAACTGGACCCTTTCTTCTGTGTCTTCCCAGCCCAGACAGGGTGGGCTTCATGCAGGCCTGCGAGAGCGCCTATTCCAGCTGGAAGTTTTCCGGGGGCTTCCGCACGTGGGTCAAGATGTCCCTGGTGAAGACGAAGGAAGAGGACGGGCGGGAGGCGGTGGAGTTCCGGCAGGAGGTAGGTGGCCCTGGCTTTGCTTTCCCCTGCCGGCCGCCGCCTCCCTTGATTCGGGGGTGCAGAGGAGCTTTGCAGTAGAGATGACCTCTGGGCAGTCTTCAGAGTAGAAGGGACCCCGTGCCAGGGAGGAGATGTGCTCCCTGGGCCCTTCCCTGGGCCACCGTCGATCCCCGCCAAACACGTGGCCAAGCACAGACGCCTGCGTTTCGCAGAGCTGGTGACTTAGCCCACACAGCCTGGGTTCTCGGCCCTCGGAGGCTGCTGGCAGCATGGGAGACGGGCCACTTGCAGGGAGGAGACGAGATGCGGAGGCCTCTGAAAGTTGTGCACCTGATGATCCGTTGGGATGCATGGGGAGAAATCCTAGCTTTCTCCTTGTATTAATTTATCATCCTTTTTGCTATTTCTGAATATCTTGAAAGGCGTGTCACGTTAGAACAGCAATAGCAATGTTACGTCACTTTGGAAGAGTCATATATATGGAGGGTATTTGCTCAGAACATGATCCTAATGGGAAGTGTGACTGAAAGCTTTCCGCCAGCTGGCCTGGAGCCTGAAGGTGCCCCCGGAGTTTCCGGCCGCGGTCCCGGCGGTAGATGGGAGAAGACCTGGGGAAGAGACCTGGCGGTAGGGATGGAGGGAGAGAGCATTTTTGTTGCCACAGCAGGGCTGTTTGTCAGTCACCATTGAAAGCAAGGCCGCACCCCTACCTTTGGGACCTCCGCCTTGGCCATGGCTGCTCCTGCCCACATCCACAACCAGAGCCCGCCATCCTGTGTATCAGTGGCTGGCTGCTTGCAGAGGTGACGAGGAGATGGGTCTGTTCTAGAAAACTCTCTTCCTCCTTGGAGATGTTCCACTGGGTTGGACTCTGTGGGGGCAGCATCGGGAAGGGCCTGGGTTGGACTAGAAGGACCGACTCCACTGACGCGGCTATCAGAAGCCAACGCCCCTTCCCTGTCCGTGGGACCTCAGGCTGCTCCGGATGAGACCTCTGGGAAGGGCATAAAGCCGATTTTCTTCAAGAGGACAGGCTTGGGGAGCCTGGGTGGCTCAGTGGGTTAAGCCTCTGCCTTCGGCTCAGGTAATGATCTCAGGGTGCTGGGATCGAGCCCCGCATCAGGCTCTCTACTCAGCAGGGAGCCTGCTTCCCACCCCCCCACCCGCCACATCCCCCGCTGCCTGCCTCTCTGCCTGCTTGTGATCTCTGTCAAATAAATAAATAAAATCTTAAAAAGAAAAGGACAGGCTTTTTTCCTGTCCCAGGATGTGGCAACTTGCCTGGCAATGAGTCCTTAAAGTATTCCTAGTTTTCAGCTAGCCGTCACATTCTAGATTTTTAGTGCACACTTTTCTCCAAGAGCCCCTAGGACCTTCCTCATTTGGCCCCACAGCGGCTGAGAAAAGGGTACCCGGTACCTTCCCCTCGCAGTGTGGTGCTGCCTGTCTGCCCAGCTCCCCTGCAGGAGGAGGAGCCCAAGGGGACCAAAGTCCCAGCGAACCTGTACATCTCAGAATGTCTGCTTTTCATTATTGTCTAAACTGGAAGTCTTTTGGTGGGTGACCTGAACCCTGTTGAACAAGAGAAAGTTTTTTTTATGAAGTGTTTTAAAGTTTAAAATACTTAACATATGTATTGTCTCCTTTGGTCCCTCCCACACCTCGGTGATGTCAGCACTTTGCCCACAGTGGGGCGAGGGGCGAGGTCAGGTTGGACACAGCCCTACGGCTGGACCTGGCGGCTTCCCCGGGACCTGTTTGCTCCCCATGACAGCAGGCAGAGTGTTTAGTGATCGTGCACCAGATCTTAGCAAGCCGCCTACTACGCACAGCCGCTTAGGTCTGGGAGGTTGCACTTTGTCCCTAGAGACCTGAAGGGTCGAAATACTCCGCTTTTAAGATCAAGTGTTTTGAAATTTGAGGCTCTGTGGCTTCTAATTATGCCTAACGTGGTCCTTCGAGTATGGTTTAGCTCTGAGTCTGATGCCCAGTGGCCGTTTGGTGATGACCCAGAGCACCCACTATGCGTCCCAGATCCTGTTCATTTCCCCAGGGGGCTTCCGGAAGCCAGCGTAGTCTCAGCTCTGGTACCAGTCTCGGGATGTTGTTTATGAGATTTCTGGCTTTGTCCGTCCATAAGGTGGTGTGAAGGGAGCCCCGGTTCAAGATCCCCTCACCGCCCTCTCCTTCCCTGCGACGCGGGCTAGGGAGGGGCGCGGAGGAGGTAATCCTGCTTTCTCTCCTCTGTGTCCAGACCAGCGTGGTCAACTACATTGATCAGAGGCCAGCAGCCGAAAGGAGCGCTCAGCTGTTTTTTGTTGTCTTTGAATGGAAAGATCCTTTCATCCAGAAAGTCCAAGACGTGAGTATTGCTTCGGGTCACAAGAGCGGGTTCCCTGTGCCAGGGTACTCTGACTCCTTGCAGGCTGTCCTCGTCTCCTTTCGCCGCACAAATTTGTTTGTCATTTATGACATTCGTGTTCTGTGTTGTGTTTCAGTGGCCGTCACTAGCCAGTTGACCCTGTGAGGGCGGGGCTTCTTCTTTCATTCATGGTCGCTGTTACCATCCGGCGGGGTGCTTAGTGCAAAGTCCTTGCTTGGTAGTAATGTTAAGTGAATGAACTGAGTAGAAAGCCTGGATTGTGTTAAGATAATGTCTAGATTACAGCTTTTGGAATCCCTTCTTTTTTTCTTTTTTTTTTTTTTAATGGGTCTCTGTTGGGTAATGATCCTTATTTGTTGTCAGAGCAGAAAGGTACAAAGAAAAATTAACAGTGTGTCAATTAATGCCAGATTCTCAGACTCCATCTTGGAGGGGAGGAATGATGGGACAGTTTTGCTAAAGGAACTGTCCAGGGAGACACCATCACCAGAGCCAGTCCCCAGTCTAATGCTAGATAATTCCCCAAACGTCCTGATGTGGTCGTGGCTTCAGGGAAGTGCCTTCTGTGGCTGAGACCCGAGCGTGGAGTGTCTCTGTGATCATAGCTGCTCCTAGTGTCCCACCCTGCCGGGCATCGTGGGCTGCCAGAGCCACGTGCGCAGGGGCGCGTGCAGCTCCGGGAGTGCGGGTTCAGGGTAGAGGAGCGAATGCCTTCAGCTCTGCGCGTCAGTTGCGTGCTGAGCCGTTTTCCACTTAGGCCATTACTCAGTCGGAGGCGCCCATTGGCGGAGGAAAGGCCACACCTGAGACGGGCCAGCCCTGAGCAGTGGCACCGGGGGGAGCGTTTTGTACCCGGGAGCCCTGAGGCTCCCCTTGTCCAAGGTCACCCTGCTCGGCTGACCTGGGGTTGCTGTGGTTCCCGTGCTGGGGACTCAGAAATGCAAGAGGAGACGTGAGCCTGGAAGGGTTTCGGCATTGAGTGGCTCTGGAGGGACTCGTCACAGACAGGAAGTGGCTGCCAGGGTTTTTGTGGGATGAAGGTCTCGGTTTTGGCTTCGTGGTCAGAGAGCGGAGCTCCAGGGAGCTGGGAGCGGTCCGCACAGCTGGGGAGCAGGAAAGCATCACAGGCCGGGGGCGTCCAAGGGCATAGCCTGGAGGTAGGAGTCCAGGACAGGGGACTGCCCCTGGACCAGACGGAGGGCAAGTTGGCGTAACTGAGATGGGAAGAAAACAAGAGGAACTGACCTGACGGGAGAGGGTACAGTTCTGGGGGGAACTGGTCTCAGAGCAAGTTCACTTACTGTGGATGAGGCCAGAAATTTAAACCTCAGTACTGAGTATCTAATTTGTGCAGAGCTTTTTTAAGAAACTTTTTTTTTTTTTTCAGGATCCATTTAGGGGAGGAAGGGATTAGTGTTTTTCTTCTCAAACTTGAGCTTTGCACGGTTTAGTCAGAAGGAGGTACAGCCACGGCAGCTGTGGGACGCGGGCGTTTTTCCTGCCCCTCGCGCCGTGTGGGGTGGGAGGCTCTGATGAGGACGCTGGTGTGACCTCGGAAGCAGAGGGGAAGCACGCCGGTAAGCTTGTGTGTGTCGCTCTTTTCCAGATAATCACCGCCAATCCTTGGAACACAATCGCCCTTCTCTGTGGGGCCTTCCTGGCGTTGTTTAAAGCAGCAGAGTTTGCCAAACTGAGTGTGAAGTGGATGATCAAAATTAGGAAGAGATACCTTAAAAAAAGAGGTCAGGCAGCAAACCACATAAGCTGAGGTGGCCTCGTGGTGTTGGTAGAACTGCCCCCGGCAATGGAAGTTCTCGTCATTTCTGTTTTGGTAAACGGAGCGGCCAGCGGCCCTGTGCTCACCTGCCACGGCCTCGCTGGGAGGACCAGCCTGCCAGACTGCAGCTTCTAACCTGGCCCCGAAAGAGGATGTTTAGAGCCTAATGGAACAGATCCGGTGGATAACCTACAACCTATTTAAGTATTTAAATTATTAATGAACATTTTTGGACACATGAATAGGGATTGCGGAAGATGGAATTAGCTATGTCTCAGGTTTTCTGAAGGTTTGTGAAGCTGCCTTTCTTACTTGGTTCGGTGTATAGTTAAGCTCTAACGGGATAATCCAGGCTCTACATTTCACCTTAGTCCCCCCAACCCCCGAGGTTTTTATAAAGTGGACAGAAGAGTGTGATTTTCCCCCCAAATCCTGAGGCTGCAGATGTGCAGGTTCTGCGTTGAGCCCTCTGCGCCCCGTACCCAAGGGCAGAATCCGGCGTCTCCAGCGTCACCCGCCAGTTCCATCATCCAGCCTCTGACACGCGCTCTCATTTGTTAAATTTTAAATGGGACTTTTGTAAAGCTTCTAGAAAGTAGTGCTAAGATATCTTGAGGATTGACTAGCCACCTACGTGTCTGGCTCCAATATCTGTTGATGCGGGTATGAGCACGCAGTGATTAACATGCAGAAGCCCTGGGACGTGTACACGGGAGGTGCCTACTCAGTGTATTTTGATGATTTTCTTAACAGGTAAATAAAAGTTAGGTTAATGCAAAAGGAGTCAGTGTGCCAGTATGAGTCTGCTCGATCGGTAGGCACCAGTACGCTTTCATTCTGTGACCTCCAAGTGAGTGGCCTCGTGAGCTCAGACTCCCCAGATGGACGATCTGGACTCCCGAGTTACGTCATGACTGTGTCCAAGGCAAGGCAGGTGGCCCAGTGGGGAAGAGTGACAGATGTACTCCCGTGAATAAGCTGTGCTCTGTTCCTGCCCTACCAAAGCACCCATCTGAGAAAGGGGCACTCAGCGTGACCCTCGAAGCCTTCAGCCTAGCTTTTGACAGAGGTGAGTACTCCGTATTTTTCACACAGTAGCCATGGGGTGATTTAAGGTTATGGAAATTGCCTCCAGAGTTTCAAATTATTTACATGCCCTTTGCTTCTGAAGAGGACTTGGTAACACTTCCTGCATTTTATAACCCGGCTTTAAGTAATTTAAAGAGGGAAAACTCAAATGTAGAAGTGGGGCACTCATGTCTCACTCAGGAAGACACTGTTATTTGATTGAATTATTAAAGATAAACTTGTGCAAAGAAATATTCGCTAGTACTCTCTGCCACCGAAGTGTGCACATTCAAACGTGAGCCTAGATCTTGTCTCTCCGTAAAGTCTTTCTTGTAAGGCAAGTGCAGAGGCAGGCGTAGCTTACCTTAATACTGGAAAACGTGTGTGTGTGTGACAGTATCTCTAAAGATGACACACCACTTTAGTATTTAATAAAATTTGCTCCAACGAACATACTAAAACTTGAAACTGCATTTCCTGTATTGTGGAAAGTTGAGAGACCGCTTACATGCGCTTTAGAATAAGCAGATAGTTAGGAAGTGAGCATTTTTAGCTTGTCAAAGAGAAAACCAGCCTGCCCGAACGCACTGTGGCTGCTCTCCAGCGAAGGAAATCTAGAAACCTGCCGCTAACACTTAGACCTAACCTTCAGTTTCTGGAGAGGCAGGGGCTAGCCTTTCCGTCTGTGTTCTGTATGTGGTAGGCTCACCCCTGCCTTCCTGGGCTGCCCCTGGCGGGCAGCAGCCCTGCTGGCTCGGGCCAGCGCGGCCGTTTCGGTGCGAGCGCGCTGCTCGGGGCTGCCGGGAGAAGGCGGCTCCGTGAGACGCTCGCGCACAGCCATGTGCCGAAAGGAGGAGTTTCTCTGGGCGCCTCAGCGAGTGAAAGGAGCTGCTTTCACAGTGACCTTGGAATTGTGTGCAGGACCCAGGCTAGAATTTTTCATGAATGCAAAAGAGCGGAAAGTTTAACGTCTCATTTCCGACTCTGGCCGTGATTTCTCTGAACCTCACGCAGGGAAGTGTTCATTATAAATTTTGAGATTTATCCTTGTGGTCTTGTTTGAATTGAAATGACATTTAAGGTAATTTGAACCTAGTCTCTGAACACAGACATGAAAGATGAAAGGATGTCCTAAAACTTAGAATTTTACGCAGGTATTCCGGAAACCCGATGTAGTTTGGTGGGTTGCTGCAGCCGTCGTGTGTGTCGTATGAACGTAAGGGCAGCAGGCTGCTTCTGGACGCTCAGCTCGGAGCTGGAAAAAGCAAAGACAACATAGGCAAAATACAAACATAGACTTTATTAAATGCTGCTCAATCCCCCAGTGAAGATCTTTCGTTACAAAACAGTTCTCCGCACAACTGCAAGTAGAGATTGGAATGGTCCTCACGGCAAAAGGTGTGAGAAATACTTGACCAAGTGAAAACATAAAGACCTTTCTATAGTCAAGGACTCTACAGGGGAAGCCTACTGCGTTTCCTTTCAATAAAGCCAGGCGGTGACCGTGAGCGCTCTGCGTCACCACACTGTGGGACTCAAAGCCGCCTTCCCTGGGGCAGCAGGGACTGGAGCAAGGGCAGGGCGTGAGGACTGGCAAGGTCCTGCCTTCAGCCTTCGGGAGGAAGAGGAGGGATGAACGGAGAGGCAGGCTCGGGGCGCCCCTGCGGCACCCCTGCGGCGCCCCTGCGGGTCTGGGCTCGTCACCCTGGGGAGTTGCAGACGAAGGGGGCTATCCATGAGGAACAACCTGAAGAATTTGGTTTACTTTCCCAGCTTTTATTTGTATTTTGTGCTTTAAAAAGTCTGGAGATTGAAGTTTCTGCTCACATTCCAGAGCGCAGAAATCGCTCTAAGGAAGGAAGGCTTAGGGCCGGTAACTCCCCCCATCGTATTTCTGGGAGCAACCAAGAGAAGGGTAAGGATTACCACCTTAGTTTTGTTTTAGGAAATAGTCTTTTTCCCAGGATGTAACTAAGGTCTGCAGCAATGTGAAAAGCACATTATAAAAGGGAAAAATACACAGAGCAGACGACTATCTCTATGTGCAACACAATCAAAAAAAGAATTCAAGTCATAATTCTTACCACTCCCATAATTCTCTCACTTATATCATAGATGATAAAGTTCATTCATTTCGGTGAAACTTGAGAAGTGACACAATAAATCCATGATTAGACAGAGGTTACAATATACTGTGGCCATGATAACAGCACAGGGCTATGTTTAGTCCATATTTTTCATTTACAGTTGCCAGAAAAAAAGTTGGCCTTTTAATTATATTATACTGAGAGGTTTGTTTCATAATTTTTACATATTTCAAAAAAGTGTACAAAACTGCCTATCCAACAGCGGTGGTGGGCTTTTTTTATTCGTCACTTGTATTGCTGAGAATACTGTGCATGTTGTAAGCACTGTTCTGCTTTTCCAGAGCTTTCTTTAGCTTTAGCTCCTCTAATTTCTTCCATAATTCTTCACGTTCCAATTCCTTCTTTTTCTCTCTGTAGATAAACCAAAATTTTTGTAGTCAGAAGCCTTTAAGGAACTTGCTGTTTGGCAGTTTGCTGGGGAACATATTATCCACCCACATTTCACTTAAATCCCTTTACTGAAGCGTTTGAGGCCAATTACCTGGAGCACCTAATTATTCTGTCACTGTCCTATGTGACTAACACCTCTATGCATCTCCTGTACCAGCTCAGAGTTACTCCTTGCTTTCCCTGCATGTTCTCACATCCATGACTGCTACTGTCATTTGTGCCTTATTACATTCACTTTCTCACCTAACCCTCTTACAACCTTTGGAGCCGCGATGGTCATCCTTTTCCGGTGGCTATGAGGTCAGGCCGCAGCCACTTCTGGGTGGAATCATCTCTCTAGCCACTAATCAGTCAAGACAACAAAATTCAAAATATTTTTTGTTTCAACTGTTTAATTTCAAATCTAAGAAACACTTCTGAATAACTTGGGCCAAATTATTCTGAAGGACTATATGAACACCTAAAGATGGTTTTGTAAATAGGATGATGATTCTTAGTTATGTGAAATATCCAAGTTTCACGTGATTCTAATCATCTTTCTTTTTCCCCATTGCTTCCTGAAGTTGAAACTATATACCTAATTTCTTTTCCTGCCTGAAAGGTTTTTTTTTTTTTTTTTTTTAAAGTTACTGAGGGACACTAGGATGGCCCTGAAGAAGAGCTATCCTTGTTCTACCCGCTACAGGAAAACCCTGATTAGGAATTTATAGTCAAAAGAGATAAGCTTTTCCAAACAATAGGTAATAAACTTCTTAGAAGGAAATGGTAGCTATTATCCTCCAATGATGGGTGGGTGGAGGCAGAGTGGTTATGGCCTGCCTCATGTTTGAAATAATCACTTTCTTCTCATTTATTTCATATATGAGGTTCTCCAAAAGAGGTGATCACTTAGGCAGGTTTGTCAATGCTGCTATGTGTTACCATCTCTAAAATATTAACTGTTGCAAGGAACAAAATAGTCACAGTTGAGCCAGAAGCAGACTATGTGAGCTCCCTCCGACCAAAAAAGAACTATGCTGAACTTTTAAGATACCACTTTGTTAAAATGGGCAACTTAGCCCTATCAAACATTGTGCAGAGAGCCTCTGAAGAGTCAAGCTCGCTGCGGAAGCGATTTTCATAAATACATAGGTCAAATTGTTTAAATTTGGCATGAATTGTATTTCGTGATGCAGGTGCTACCAGACTGATGAACTCTAAGGCTCGGAATGAGAAACAGGATTTATAATCCACATTAAAACTGTAATCCAACCAGCAGGGAAACTTCTTTATTTGGAAAGGACTTAAAAGAGTTTGAGCATTACAATTTGAAAGTCTAGATATAACTGACTCAAACACTATAATTTTAACTTGGGCAAGATACCTTATTGGATTGAATCACATTCAACTAATCTAAAATGTATAGATAACCTGGTAATTAAAAATACCAAATACCTTTGTCTTTCAGCTTTGTATGAACTAGTAAGGTCATCAAAAAGCTTGCCATTCATTTCCATTAGGGTTTTCAGCACATTGTATACCAGTGCTACGATGGTCCTAAAATGAAAATCAGCAGTGTTGGGTCACAGGAAATGTAACATTATTATCCCTAAATGGTGGCTGATTCACTTAATCCATTTTAGAGATGATAAACTAAAGTGCAAGAGGTTTAATAATTTGCTCAAGGTCACACAGCCAGTGGTGACAGAGATGGTCTGATTTCAAAATTCATGTCTGCCTTATATATTACGCTTAAACTCTTAAAATGTCACTTTCATGTCTGCTCTCTAGTCTACTGTCTCAAGCTAACAGTATTAAAAGATGAGAATATAACTTGTAAAAAAAAAAAAAAGGCTAACTTGTAAGAAAAACAGAAAGTAGGATAAGGGTTTTACAGAGGTTAGAATACATGCACAATCTGAACATTGCTGATGTGACCTTAAGTGCTCCAGCCTCTCCCTGGGAGTGCTAACCCATGAGGTTTGTGCCGCCTCTGCAGAAGCTGGCTTGGTCTCCCCACCTGGGTTTGACCACACAGTAGTGCGAGATTAAATTGAAACCAAGAACTTAATAATTAACTGTATGTATATCAAGTACACAATAGAACAGCATTGTGATGTTAACCTTGGAATAAGTTCCAAGTCTGTATAGGTTTCATGTATGAGTTAGATCGAAAGAAAAAAAAGCACAAACATAAGAATAATACCATCAACACAAAAGACACTTACGGATTCCAGTGTTCTTTGGAGATTTTGTACAAACTGCCAAACATAATTGGCAGAATTTTATCAATGTTCTCCTCAATCAAACTAAGAATATATTCATTATTCCAGAAGTACAATGCCCTTTCTGCAACCTAAGAAGACATTTACAAATGTCAAAACTCAGAGAAAAAAGAAATAATAGTATAAAAATGGCTTCACTGAAAATATCATACCTGAAAATGAGAACTGGATACACACTTGGATATCTGCTTAAAAAGGGGTTCTTCGATTTTTTTGAACTGTGTGGGTTCAATGACATCTAAGATTTCTTCAATTTCTCCTAAAAACATCACCTAGGTTAAAAAAATTTTTCTTTTAAGAAACATAAATTACATGATGTTAACATAGAAGTGAAACTACAAATAAGAAGGTTAACCTACAAATTACATAGTGGACAAAATGAAGGTCTTGATTATATATACAATTTACTATAATGTTCAGCTTTCCCACCAAGTCTAATTCCCAAAAGACCACCACTTCTTGCTTGGTGGCAGTGACAATATAGCCAGCCCATAGAAACATGTTTTTTGTTTGTTTTAAGGATTTTATGTATTTGACAGAGAGAAGCCAGTGGGGGGAGGAGGGAGAGGGAGGAGCAGCAGAGTGAGAGAGAAGCAGGTTCCCTGCTGAACAGGGAGCCTGATGTGGGCTCAATCCCGGAACCTGGGATCATGACTTGAACCCAAGACAGATGCTTAACCGACTGAGCCACCCAGGCACCCCAAGAAGCATGATTTATAATTTAGCCCTAAGATTAAAAATTTTAATAAAATTGTGCTTTTTTTTTTTTTTTTTTTTTTTTTTTTTTTTGAACAACCTACCTCTTTCTGACTGCATGTTTTTGGCCAAAATTTCAGCAACCCTCTGATCACCTGCAAAAAGGGAAAAGTTCAGCACAAATTAAGCAATGAAGTTGGTTAACCCCAGGGAATTTTTAGTAATTGTGATTATATCAATATTCAGTCTGAAGTAGATCAATATTATTTAATATCTAAGTGTATCCCCAGAATTCCTGCTCAGCTTTATACTTTTTAATAATCCAACATATTTATTAAGTACCTTTGTACCAGATACTGTTCTAGATGCTAGAAATACAATGATGAACAAGACAGATGAGATCCCTGATTTTCCATTAAACTCAGATTATCCATTAAACATAGAAGTAATTCTAATAGTAAGTGCTACTTATATTAGTAGGAAAATAAAAACACGATAATGAGTGCGGGAGATAAGTTATTTTAGGGAGAAACTAAGGAACAAAGAATTCCTGTTACTTAAAACCATCTGAACCATCAGAGAGCTTCCCAATTTATTTCATAGCTAGCACTATCTTGATAACCAAAATACAAGGAAGGGATCATAAATTTAAGTGAACACAGTTGCAAAACTTTATATTAAACCAAGTGTTAACTATATATTAACAGAACACTACTACTTGTCCCCTTATACCTTATTCCAGAAATTCCAGTTCAACTCATTACAGTTTTAAGTTAAAAGGGAAAATTTTAAAATCTTTAAAAATTTCAAACCTACTTGACTAGCAAAAATGTTAAAGCTTAATATTGAGCATTGGCCTGGGTGAGGGAAAAGATATCTTCAGAATCTGGACTGTAATATTAGATTGTTCAAACTTTTTGGAAGGCAGGTTGGAATATGTAAAAATTTCAATGTACTTTCGACCCAGCAACATGGTTTTAATTTTAATGATTTTTAAACATTTATATACATGGGACACCTGGCTGGCTCAGTTGGTACAGCATCTAACTCTTAACCTTGGGGTCATGAGTTTCAGATCATCTAAAAGTTTTTAAAAATTAAATACTTAAAAAAATCCATATACAGGGGCGCCTGGGTGGCTCAGTGGGTTAAAGCCTCTGCCTTTGGCTCAGGTCATGATCCCAGGGTCCTGGGATCGAGCCCCGCATTGGGCTCTCTGCTCAGCGGGGAGCCTGCTTCCTCCTCTCTCTCTGCCTGCCTCTCTGACTACTTTGTAATCTCTGTCTATGAAATAAATAAATAAAATCTTAAAAAAAAATCCATATACAGTATTTTTTTTTTTTTGGTGTGCTATCCTGAGGGCTTTTATACACACACAGAATTTTTTTTTTGTTACCAGCACCACAGATAGGACACAGAAAAATTCCAACATCCTAAACACCCCCTCACCCAGCAATATGTTTTAACTACTCATGTGTTCATTAATAAAGATTCAGTGTGTTATGGTAATCCATATAATGGAATCTGATGTTACCAGTGAGAACAATGGAACAGATTAATATGGAAAGGTAGCCACATTGTGGAAAAACCTCATTAGCACTGTCCCACCGGTTAACCTACCACACACATACACATGCATACAAAAAATTTCTAGGAATATATTCACCAAAGATGGTTATCTTTTAGGGGATAAGATTTTAAGATTTTAATTTCCTTCAGCTTGCACTTTATGATTTTATATTGTGTGACCCAAATTAACACAAATTATTTTCATAAACAGAAGTAACAGTCTTTTCCATTTTAGAAAATAATTTCAATTGGAGATATAGGTACACAAGATATAGGTAACTATATCTTATTTATAATTTGTAAGACGCTTTGATATGAATACCAGGTTTCTAGAGAATGAGTATGAAGGCTGAAACAAATATGGCCATAATTTGGGTGCTGAATGGTCTATGGTAGAAACTCTAGAGATCTGTATATCTACAGGTTTTATGAATTGAAAACTTTTCCTTTGTCAACTTGGACATTTACCTTCCTGCCTTCTTATCCTGTTTCTATTTCTGTTGTTAACACAGCTCACCTAAGAGAGACCATTACCTAGCCATTATCCCTTCTCCCCAATCTACTCTTTAAAAAGAAATCACCTATCTTCTCCCCTATCCACCCCATATTAATTTATATTTAAATTACATCTATCTACAATTCAGTTATGAACCATGACTTATTATGTTATGGGTTTTGTCTTAATTCTGAGGAGAGGCACCATGGACTTAATTCACTTTAGTGAATTCAAGTTTTAATTCAGCTGAATTAATTTAGTGAATTAAAGTTTTAATTCACTTTAGAGGTTTATGTGGTTTCATGTAAGTACTAGGCTTCTAATTCTCCTGATTTGTCTTTAGAAACTGGTTTTTTAGCTGTTTCCAGAAAGATCTGCAAGTCTAAAAGTTCAAAAACTCTAAGTATTAGGGAGTGAAGAAATATGTTCTTTTACAGGAAGTTCAAGTCAGAGGAAGAATACTAAGTTCATAATCTTTTCAAGCATGCCTAGGGATAGCCTAAGTAACTTTATAATAAAGAAAACCTTATTTAAATCCTTCAAATCCTTTGCTATTCTTCAAGAACTCTTAGTTTAAATATTTAGATTTAGGATGCCTTGAAAATATTCACTCAAAATACTTCACCAATGTTAAAAGATTGTTTTGTCTGCTTCATACTTTACTATTTTCTCCCTATACCTTTTTTTTTCTTGGATCCTCGGTGTTCATAATGACATTTTTATTCTCTCCTGAATCTTCTCATTGCAGGCAAATAGCAGAATTCAAAGACTGAATTGCTATGTTGATTCATAAACAACCTTTATCCCAAGATTACATCTTGATCGCCAAAGGCAAGGAAATGTTTTCAACCCCTATCATATGGTTTATCATTGTTAAGAGGGAAAATCCTATGTCTAAAAACAAAACAAAACTCCAAGGACCCTCACAGTATGTTTTAATTTTAAAAGGTGAATGAAGGGGTGCCCGGGTGGCTCAGTTGGGCATCCAACTCTTGCACGGGACTGAGCCCCACTTAGGGCTCTGTGCTCAGTGGGGAATCGGCTTGGGATTCTCTCCCTCTCTCTCTGCCCCTCCCCCAGCTCATATGTGCACTCTTCTCTCTAAAAATAAATCTTTTAAAAAAGTGAATGAAGAATAAAAAGATTATCAGTGAAGATAATATGCATATAAAATTTCACTGTAGTCTTTGGATCATGTCATCACACATTTCAACTATGACATTTTAATATTAATCTATAAGTTATTCAAGACACAATTTCTAACTCGTGAGAATTCCCCCTCCCAACACTGTTCTTTGAATGCAGGTTAACTTAACATTCCTTCTAGATGACTCTAAAGTTAGTACTACTACTGTTTGACAACTTTACGAGGGAATAAAGCTGTAACAAAATACTACAATGTAGATTAGAGATATAAAAAGAAATAGACCAGGGGCGCCTGGGTGCTCAGTGGGTTAAAGCCTCTGCCTTTAGCTAGGGTCATGGTCCCAGAGTCCTGGGATCGAGCCCCCGCATCGGGCTCTCTGCTCAGCAGGAAGCCTGCTTCCTCCTCTCTGCCTGATTCTCTGCATACTTGTGATCTCTGTCAAATAAATAAATAAAATCTTCAAAAAAAAAAAAAAAGAAAGAAAGAAATAGACCACTTACTGGTTCTGTTAGTGTAGTATCTTTCTCCAGGAACTGTACAACACAGTAGGCTAGCTAAAATGTAAGGGACAGTTAATAAATACTACTGAATGAAACAACAGTGATACAGGATTTTTATATTTAGTTAAAAATGACTACCTCATTTTAATAAAGTTCACTCTGTATCTCAATACATAAACATGTATATACTCACAACTGTGTGATGTTTAACCTTGAAAGAAACTTTTAGGTAAAAAAAAAGATGTTCTTTTTTCAGTAGTTACCTTCTGAATGTAAAGTTAAGTGAAACATAGGACTAAAGCTAACATTTTAGTTTCAAAGTCAGGGCCCAGACTAGAAAAGAGGAAAACTTGGTATTATCTCTCCTATATTTATACTTAAAGTGTACTGAGCTTATTTAATAAAGCTAAATATCATAATACTTTTAAGTTATAATGAAAATTTGCCCTGAGCAATTTACAAAGCAAATTGCTTAATTATACCTGCAATTCCTTCCTCAATATTTCTCCATTTCTCTGCCTTTATATCAGCGTCTGAAACAATATTCATTTGATTTGAAATGTCTGAAACTTACCTGAGCATGAAACAAAGCTAATCCTTTTGCAGTATGCATAGGAATAAGAACCTTCATTAGAAATTGTTTATGTTCTGCTTTCAGTGGCAATGCAAAGCCATTGATAATACTGGAGGGAAAAAAAGGCAGGGGGAAGGGTTAAGTAGTTACTACTTTATTTCCAAAAATTATATCCATGAGTATATAAGGAACAGTGTTCTGCTTCAATCCTGGTATTGAATGACTTACCCATCTTCAAACTAGTCTGGCTCCTCTAAGTCATTCAATGACCCCAGAAGAGAACTGGGACTGTCAATTAAAGTCCCACTAAATAATTTGTCTTTATTTCCTATAAAGCCCATCACTTCATACATTATTGCTTTTATTCTCCTACATAAAGCCACAGGGAGATCAGTATCACAATGCTGTTAAAACTTCCAATATTTTCTGAAGCAAAAAATATTTTCTGAACTCTGAAGTTTCCCTACTTTGCTGAAAAATCTGAAATTAAGTATTTTCTTCATAATCATTCTCTAACTATTAGTAGAGAGGGCCTCATCTTCTCAGGTTAATACTGCTGTGTGATGAATAAGGAAGGCAAAATGTTCACGTAAACTAAAAGGCTCTGAAAAGAACAGATAGATTAGGAATGGCTTATTAATGTCTCAACAAGAATTCTTATAAGTTTATCAAAGATTCATTATAGTTTACTTCATTTCTTCCCAATCAGATCCTATAAATTTCTGAGGCAGTCTGGTAAGATCAGGCATAAAACATGCCACAGCTTCAAAAGCAGGCAGCCTATTCTAAAACAGATGTCTTGCATGGCAAGTACTTTAATATGCTGACCGCTTAAAAGCTATAAAAAGAATTCAGTTGAGAAACTATGTCTTGTGCTCTATATTTAAACTCTAAAATACGAAATAATTTCTCCAACCCCAGCTAGGATTCTAATACATAAAACATTCAAAGTTATCTCTTTAAAAACAAAAAAACTGACTTACCTTCCTAATATTTCAAGGAGTTCAGCAACACCATTGAAATGTTCTGTTTCATATATAAACCTGAATTTAAAATATAGATAGATATAATAAAAACTCAAGTTTTAGTAAACTAAACTAAGAGAAGAGGCAGGAAGGTCAAGAAATCAGTCGCAAGGGCAACTGTAAGAAATATACAAGCATTCTTTGTAAAACTATTTTGTCCCAAATTAGTAACTTCTTTTGCTAAAACTAACCATAATGATAATGGAATATTAGTTCACCTGGAATATTTTATTTTGCTTAAAAATTTAAAAGAAAGATGGGTTTTCTCAAGATAATACTTTTCAAAATAGGAAACTTCCACCCATAGGAAAATCCAAGAGAAAAGGACCCACGTATCATAAAAACATTTTTATTCATAGCTTTGCAAAACCTAAACTATGCAGGCTTCCTGGCTTTCCAAGAGTAGGCTTGCTGTTAAAGCAGGAAGTAAAAGACTCAAATGACTACAGGACAGGGGAGGTGTTAAGTGAGTCAGGTAGACTAGGAGAGGAGGACAGAGACCTGCAGAAAGATGCTCTCTCCAGAGGAGACAGCTGTTACTGGTCTCTAATTGTTACAACACGGGAGTGCCGGCCTAATTCTGCCAGATTTCCAATTAACACAAACAAACCAAACCCGAAATGTGGATATATTAAAGCTAAATCTCATCGGAAGCAACTATTTAACACAGTATCATTTATAAAGGAGTCAAAATACAGGCTCCATATAAATTTAGCTTTGTCAGAAAAACAAATGAAAGTACTTTCAAGATCAAATGATTTTAACAGTATTTATACTTATTTTTTAAACAAAAAGCTCAAACAGGTAACTAGACAAATTCAATAAATTTTAAATATGAACATTGGTATTGGGTATTAAAAACAGTCTTCATTACATGAGAAGTAGGTTGCAAGGTTCTAAAAAGTTACATGCAATCAAATGACACCCACAAAATGACTCAAATACTAATAAGGTTAAGAGAGTTCAGATACTAAAAGTTAATCTAAAGGAATTGGAATAAAAACACATGGAGGGGGAAAAAAAGTGCTATATATGAATATAGGACCAGTTTACCTGAGGAAAATGTTGTTGATTTGTTTTCTGATGAATGCTCTTAATCCAAGAAATTTCCCATAAATTCGGTGCAGAACAGTCTTCAGGAAGTCACGTTCTCTGGGATCTTCACTATCAAAAAGCTCCAGGAGCTTTAAAAAAAATCTGAGAAATTACTTTTTAAAAATAATTGAGCTAAAACTTCACTTTATTCTAATTTGATTTAGAGATAACCCATGAAATCTTAAAAAAGTTTTTTAAAGATTCTTAAAGATTCTGCCTTAGGTTGATTTTATTCTTGATAAATATTGAGGCCAAAGAAATCTAAGGAGTATTTCTTTTCACTTCATTTCAAAAAACAAGATAATATAAACGCTTCAAAAAAGTGGGATTTTTTTTTTTTTTGCCTTGCCACTCATCTTAAAATTCTATCCTATTCTTGACGACTAACCATGGCTCATAATTTTAGAGTGTTGAAATTTGAGATTTTTCATGCTAATAATTTAAAACTACATACAAAGATCTTAAGCTTGCAAGCTGCAAGTCATTATAAATAAATGAAGTTTAAAAAAATACATATGTGCAAATGAGTATTTATGGTTTACTAGAAAGAACAAACCAAAGCTCTTTTTGAACAAACCAAAGCTTTTACACTAAAAATCAAGCTTGCAGATCAAAAGGTGGTATTACTATATTTTAAATAAAACACTGGATTTTCTTAGGAAAAATTTTAAAATACTCCCTATCTATAGAATGTAATTTCGTATATGAAGTCATCAAGAAATTCTGTGTTCTGTACTTTGATACTGATAATTATAGTCAAGATGGCAAGCTCTGAACCTCATCAAAGTTTTTTTCCCATTCTGTCTTGAATTATATGTAATTGTTTACATATGCATCTCTTCTACTAGAGTGAGTAGTTTTTGAGGGTAGTGATAACTTTAGTCATATTTATATACCCCTAAACAAATGTCTGGTTTATAGTTTGTATTCTTTGTTCACTAGGTTATTAAAATCCTGAATGAGGCTCCAGCCAAAAATATCCAGAGTGTAAGAATTTATGTTTATATACCTAATAATTTCAGTTCAAATTATTCTAATTAAAAATGGCTAACCTACTCACTTGAGATACTCAGATCCAAGTTTCTGATATTGGGTTTACTTAGAAGATAAGCTTTCAAATTAATAAAAGGGGCCTTTCATTGTTAAGGCTGACATGTTTAATTCAAGAACAAATATAATCTAGTATAAGTTGATCCTCAGGAAAAAAAAATACTAGAGAATAGCTGATAGCTGAGTTTCAAATCTATTTAAAGAAACCTATTCTGAAGTATTAATTTAAATAAAATAATCTAGAAATATAAATAGATATAAATATAAATTCATGTAATAAAACACACACAAACCTAGTCCTCAATAAATTGTTTCTCATTCTGGCTGTTATATCTAACTGCTTTTAAGGGTGATTAATAACCTCTGAGCTTTTTCATCATTGATAAAATGAGGAAGGTTAAAACTAATCTTGTTGGGGCGCCTGGGTGGCTCAGTGGGTTAAGCCTCTGTCTTTAGCTTGGGTCATGGCCTCAGGATCCCGTGATCGAGCCCTGCACTGGGCTCTCAGCTCAGCAGGGAGCCTGCTTCCCCCCCTCTCTCTCTGCCTGCCTCTCTGCCTACTTGTGCTCTCTATCAAATAAATAAATCAATAAATCTAAAAAAAAACCAAAACTAGTCTTGTTTTTATTTAAATGAAGGTAATATCATAGTCTAGTTCTAATCCTAATTCTCCCAGCTACTAGCTGTGTGGAATTAGACATGGTCTAGTTCTTTATATAAAAGCATATAAAGACCGTGCCTGGCACATAAAATATGCCCTCAATAATTCTTAGCTTCCTTTTTTCTTCTGAAATCCTGTGACTTGAATATAACTTGGAATTACACAAGTTTTTTTTCTCTTGAAATGATGAGTATCCACATTTATACTCAAGGTTTTTTTTCCTGTACTTCTAAGTCTTAAAATTACCATGTAATCAAATAATTTCAAAATATAAAACCTGAGATATATACAAAAGTAACATAATAAGAATGACTAAGGAAGTGATGTATGAAAGCACAGTCATCTAAACTGCTAAGAACAAATTATTGGGCTTTGGCTTCTCGGGTAATTCAGATATTTAGAGAAGGTAGAAAATGGGTCCCACTCTACCAGTTTTCTTCCTGTTCCCCCTCAAACCCGTGGAATAATCCAGCAGCAGAAACACCTCAAGCTCCAGACTGAAGAAGCACTAAGGCAATTGTTCCTCTCAACCTTCTATCTTAAACACAATTTAATATGATATATCATTAGAGTTCCTCAATATACTATATTCCTTCTGTAGCACACAAGAGCTACAAAAGGAAATAAATACGTATTCATTTGCAATTACCAAAATAACAAAACTCCATCTAATCTTACCTTTACTTGTGATTGAAATGGAAATTTTACTGTTAGCACACACCTAATATTTGTTCGTAATTTATGAGGAGCTGCTTGAATGGGTGAAGGATATATCTTGACAATATTCTCCATTAATCAGTACACTCACAGCAACTAGTAAGAATACTTTATGTGAGGTCCGAGGTAGTTATAAATGATCAAAAGTGAATTCCAAGTATGTGGGACTCATGTTTGTAGAATCTTTATCATACACTGGTGGTTAAGAGGGTAGGAAAGGTCCTAGCGATTATTAAAATATTAAAAGCCTTAGCACTGGGTTCATCACCACCTTCTCACTTACCTTCTCTTTCTTGAAAATGCAAGTAACTCTCAAAGAAGAGAGTATCAAATTCCTAATGAGACCTTACGTACTGAGATAAATTTCTAGAGGAAAAAAATGAACCTAGAAAGATCTGGTCTCCTTCACAATTTTGTCTAGGTCTAGCCAATTCCCCATAATTAAAAAGAGGCTTTTACATTGTTGAAAAGATTTTGAAAATAAAAATGAACACATTCTGAGAAATTAATTTTCAGTATGTAGGTTCCAAAAAATAATAGCTAGTAACCAATTTATAAAATAAAAGAAGGGGGAGCCTGGGTGGTTCAGTCATTTGGGCAGCCCATTCTTGACTTCAACTCAGGTCCTGATCCATGAACTCAGGGGACCGAGCCCTGTGTCAGGCTCAGTGATCATCAGGGAGTCTGTCTGAGCCTCTCTCTCCTGCTCCTCCCCACCACTTGTGTGTGCATGCTCTCTCTCTAATACATCTTAAAAAAATAAAAAGAATAAAAAGAAGGTATCACACTATGTTTCACTATCTCCTTTTCTTCTTAAAGATCCCATTTATCTGTGGCTTAGGAACTGGGTGGCTAGACTGCCTAAGGTGGGAAGGGGAAAGGAAAAAGGAAAGGTCACTGGTAATTAATAACAGGAAAGGAGCCTAACCCCAAACTCCCAACAAAGATTCCATTTCCACTTTTCCTCTGTCATTTCAAAGTCACAATGCTTAAAACATATGTCAAAGTTCAAGTTCAAAGACTTAAAAATTTAAAAGAAGGCTTCTTGCCTTTAGATTGAATGGTCGTACCAAATTTTTTCAGATTGTGCAGAAAGGCTCGCTTTCTGGTCTTTAAAAGTAACTATGAGAATTTAGTATTGGATAATTCAACTGACTTCATTAGAAGCTCACTCTTGATTAAAATACATTGATATTGTCAAAGCTACTTCACTTTTACCCTAATTGGCAAGAGTATTAAATGCTGTTAAAGTGAAATAAACCATTTAAGTTCTGAAAGACTATTTTAATCACAAATTAATAAATCATTGCTAAGATGAACATAAGAAAATTTAAGACATTAAGAATTCCTTACCTGTTGGACAAATTTCTGATCAATGTATCGCTTTGCAATGCTAGGCTGGAAATCAGGGCTCTCCAAAAATCTTAAGAAGAATTCATACACCAACTATGAAAGAAAGTCAAATAGAAGCTAAGATGATAACTATAAAAATTTACCCTAATTTATCCTTTCATACCAAACATACCTCCCCTACCACCCTAGGAGGGAGATTTTCAACCTCATTGGAAAATGTGGTGAGTTGGTAAGATTTTTAAAAACTAAATGTATATTCACAATTTGGCCTCCTAAGCTAGTACATTTGGGGATTTACTGCTTTATATCACTTGTTGAAGCTGAAATTATAGGAGCTAGAAAATAAAAATGACACCTATAAAATATTTAACTAGGAAAGACTATTTTGTAGTCCATACTCACTGGGAATGTGTTCTTTCTCCATTGGACTCCCAACCCACCTCAATTTAATATCCAGAGTTCTTTAAATACAGGATAAGAATAAACTGAATTGTAAGGGGAAGTGTATCAATAAAAATAAAAAGCAAAAAACTTCAGGTCTTTCTATAAAACTATAGTAGGAAAAAATTAAATCAAAACCAGCACACCATAATTACATTTAGGAAGTAATGAACTAAATTACTTAAGTTCAAGGTTCAGGAAGGAATGTTTGTTTATCACAGTGAATATACTAGAAGTCACAGCAGGAGGTCTACTTAAGCACGAGCATCTTGGGGTACCAGGGTGGCTAAAGTTAAGCATCTGACTCTTAGTTTCAGCTCAGGTTATGAACATAGGGTCGTGAGACTGAGCCCCTCACTGAGCTCTATGCTGGGTGTGGAGCCTGTTAACCACCCCCACCTCCCTTCTCTTAAAAAAAAAAAATATATATATATATATACACACACGCACACACACACACACACATTTAAATATATGTAAATATACACACACACACACACACACATATATATATGAGTGTCAGGCATTTAAAAGTAATAGGTAATGTTCATTTGTGGTCACAAGTGAGAATTAAAAGTAAGATTTAGGGCACGTGGGTGGCTCAGTTGGTTAAGTATCTACCTTTGGCTCAGGTCATGATCTCTGGGTCCTGGAACTGAGTCCTGCATTGGGCTCCCTGCTCAACAGGGAGCCTGCATCTCCCTCTCCCTCTGTCCCTCCTCCTGACCCTGCCCCTCTAGTGATGTCTCTCTCTCTTCTCTCAAATAAATAAAATCTTAAAAACCACAAAAAGTAAGGTTTAGTTCAACTTGCCTCCATCACAGCTGCATCTGTCTTTTAAGAAGAAAGGAAAACACACTAAAGTTTTTCTTTTATTGTAACCTAACAGCTATGAAATGTAGGAGTATAGCCCCCCAAAATGTACCTTAATTTATTAGCTATCAAACAACACATTAACCTAGTGCCCTAAAAATAAAAAAGGAAGACTACATCCTAAAGTAGAAACATTCAGTAAACATTTTGATCACAAAATGATAAACATCAGGCCACATACAGAAGGGAGAAATAAATTTACAGACATTACAACACAAAAAAAGCACTACCAGATCGGGGCCTTATCATTCACCATAGAGTAACAAATTTTACTATCGAATTCAGTAATATTCTAAGCCTAACAACAGCTTTGGGAGTTGAATAAATGTTGTTTTTGTCCAGTGCACCTTTGACCAGCTATCCAAAGGAGTGACGCTTATCTGGTCTAATTATTATCTTTTAGCTGTTTGGTATGACACTGTAATATGAAAACAGAAATTGGTACCAGTTTTTATTTATAAATAATCTTCTAATCAACCAACTACACAAATAATTTTGCTTTGGCTTGCGCGCACGCAAAAAGATACAGAAAATGATCAGAGTCCTCTGAAGGGTCAGTATGGCGCCGCAGGCTGCTACAGTTTCACCGGCACAACATGCTCAGGGCCTCTTCTTCATGTCCAATCCTGGCCTACTGTGATACTGTGATATGAGAAAGTATATACGTGGTCTTCATCTGTGGTTACTGCCACAGAGCTCCTAAAACCTTGAAATTTCCTGAGTAGGAGTAAGAGATGCAGTTTTTTGTTGTTTAATAAGAAACCCCTCTCAAACATGCTGGAGTTTAGGTTAATGTGATAACTCCAGGAGGATGAAAGTCTGGTTACCACAGGAAACAATGTGATGATGAGAGGGTTGAAACTTTCAGCCCCAACTCCCCATCCTCCAGGGAGGGGAGAGAAGCTGGAAATTGAGTTCAATCACCACTGGCCAGTTACTTAATGAATCATGTTCACCTAATGGAACCACCATCAAATTCCTCAACAAAGGGTTTTGGAGAACTCCTGGGTTGGGGAACACACCAAGGTGATGGGAGGGTGGTACACGGAGCCCCATTTTCATACCTTAATCTATGCATCTCTTTCATTTGGCTGTTCCTGAGTTGTATCCTTTATAATAAACTCGCAAGTAACAATAAGTGAAGTGTTTCCCTGTGTTCTGTGGGCTATGGCAAATTATCAAACCGGAGGAGTGGGCTCTGGGAACCCCAGACTTAGAGCCAGCTCGGCAGAAGTACAAGAGACCAAGACTTGTGACTACCATGTGAAGTAGAGCGTGGTCTCATGGGACTGAGCCCTTAACTTGTGCCTCTGTGGTAACTCTGGGTCATTAGTGTCATAAATGAATAAACTATGAGACACCCAGTTGGTGTTCAGAGAAGTGATAAATTTCTTGGTGTGGGAAATCGACACATTTGGTGTCAGAAGTTTTCCCTATAGCTACGTAGTGTGAAGAGATAGTGGACACTGTACAGCTCTGAAAAAGCTCATTCACTTGTTAGGGAAAGAAGACAAAACTAGAAATCTATAAAATGGTATATACACAAAAATTGTATGGCACAGGGGCACCTGGGTGACTCAGGCAGTTGGGCATCTCACTCTTGATATCAGCTCAGGTCATGATCTCAGGATCATGAGATCAATTCCCGTGTTGGGCTCTGCACTCAACAGGGAGACTGCTTGAGATTCTCTCCCCCTCTGTCCCTCTGCACAATTTGTGTTAATTAATTAATTCTTTAAAAATGTATGGCACAGACTGAGTGGAGGAGACCTTTAGAAAAAGGTTTTATCATTGTGGAATAAAGTCAGTAAGAAAAGTTTTAAGGAGGACAGCAACTTGAGCCCTATATTTGATTTGATTGTGCAGAAGCCAAGAAGAAAAAGGGCTTATTAAAGAAAGGTAGGACATGTCTTGAGAAGCAGATGGTGTAGGGTATGGGTTGTGGGTATGGAATCAGAGGCTCAGAATCTTCATGCAGATGCCTAGTTGAGTGGAAGTTAAGATTTGTGGTAAGGTGGGACCAGGTTAAATATGAGTCAAGTATGGCATGCATTAGCCTATATACTCTACCTCTGAAGATCTGCATCAGATATATACGGCTTAAGGCTTAATACTATTAAGAGCAATCACATGCCTTTTGGGAGACTTGCACATCATCAAGCTGAATCCTCTAAATCACATACTCAGTTGAAACAAATGCCCATCACAGATACATTATTATTTCTTATGTAGTTCTCATCTCATCATTTACCTAACACAGTGAACATTAAGTGACCAGTCAAGATTAGCAGCAAATCGCTTTTATGCAGCCAACTTAGCACCACTGAAGAGATAACAAAAGGTTATCTAATAAACACATGCTGAGTAATGTTAAACAGAAGTAAACACTAGTGATCTACAGAGCTGAAAATCTTCAAGATGGCACAATTAAGACTATGCTTCTATAAAATGGCACCCTGTGTCCCCACTGTCACTCTCTCTATACTCTATCCTGCATTACTTTTTTCTTGTATTTATCATACCCTGACATAGTATTATTAATTATTCTTTTCCACTAGGATATAAAAGATTTTGCTTATTAGTTTACTCCCAATATTTAGAATAATGCCTTGAATACAATATTCAATTGTATGAATAAATCATAGTTGTGGAGGACTGCTTCTGTGTAATTACTAAAGTTTCTCTATATTCTTCTATATGAAGAAATATTTTGCTCTAAGAATCTAAGAAACAGTGCTTCACAGAACAATAGATACTTTCAGCAATGGATTCATTTCTTTAGTAAACTGGCAAATTTCATATATGTTCAATGTACAGCTGGTCCTCCTACTTCTGTGAACCAAAAAAATACCCTAAAAGATAAAAAAGGTAAGTACAAAATGTAAAAAGATAACTAAAGGTGGGTAATCTTACCATTCTGCTCCATAATGACCATGTCTTTCCTAGGTAGTTAGAATATATAAAATTCTAATCTCCACCAATAAAAAAGATTTTAGAAGAAGGTACAGCAAAACAACATAGATGATTTAAGTATCTGAAAATAAGATCTATACAAAAAAGCTAAAGGAACTGGAAATGTTTGGCCCAGAGAGGCAAAAAGTTTTCTAAGAAGAAACTTTAATAAACTGTTATAAACAAAAGGCTCTCTCTTCAAGGAATATGGTGGCCCAACGTTTTACAAACTCTATTAAGAGAAAACGAATTAAAATTTTTTTATAAGATTTTATTTATTTGTCAGAGAGAAAGAGAAAGAGCACAAGCCGGGGAGCAGCAGGCAGAGGGAGAAGCAGGCTCCCTGCTGAGCAAGGAGCCTGATGCAGGCTCGATCCCAGGACTCTGGGATCATGCATGACCTGAGCCTAAAGCAGAGGCTTATTAATCCACTGAGCCACCCATGCATCCCAATTTAAATAGGCTTTAAAACTGATTTAATATATGAAACAATTCATGTAAGACTTAACATACACTGAACTAAATGAGATATTTCATATTAAGTGCCTGAACACTGAATCTGGAGGGCTACGTGAATGTGAAGAGGTGTACACTGTAAAATGTTTATGTTCCCAGTATAAATTTCTAATTGTAGAGGTCACAAAGAAGTTTCTAGTCCCTATAATACAGGTTATTCCTAAAAAAAGAAAGGTCTATGTTTTAGTCAGTACCCTACATAAAATAATTACATCTTAAGTATCTGTGCCACTAAAGAAAATAATAAAAGAAAATTAAAATACTACATAATCTGCCTGTATTCCAGACTAATACAGAGGCCAAGCCTCCCT